AACTGAATTTATTCTCACTTCGGTTACTTTTCTGCTACTTTTCGCTTCATGGCCAGTGTTTGATAAGGTCCTAGGACTCTAGAGGCCAGGGTTCAAATCCTTGCTTGGCCCATGAAAATCTACAGGTGGCTTTGGGCAGGTCATGCTCTCTCAGTCTCAGAGGAAGGCAAGTCAAGCTCCTCCTGAACAAATCTACCCAAGAAAACCGCATGATCTGCCAGAAATAGTCCAAATTGAGGCCACTTTAATTGCCCTGACTCAGTGCTAAGGAATCATGGGAACTGTAGTTTATTGTGGCACCAGAGCTCTCTGACAGAGAAGGCTCAATGTCTCAGAAAAAAAATACAATTCCCATAATTCCTTAGCACTGAGCCAGGACAGTTAAAGTGGACTCAATTTGCACTATTTCTGGCAGTCTGCAAAGGCCTATACTGCCACTCCAATCCTGCACATTCTTCAAGGCTGTCCTGATTTTTCCTTTCTTTCTCTATGTGGAAAAAAAAAGTGTGCCTTAGGGTCACTATTGACTTAAAGGCACATAACAACAACAAGGCAGTAGATTTTTTAAAAAAACCCAGCCAGTTAAAGCCAGTTAAAATACAAGTAAGCAGCCAAATGCAGATGAAAAGGTCCTAGTATGTGCTTAAGAACCACTGAAATAGCATTGGGCTGAAAGTCCTTTTTCCTCATTAGCCATCACCTGGACTGACCAGAAACAAGACGACTAAACTGAGGGTCTTATACTGTGGATATACTATGAGACAGTGTTGTCACAAGGGTTGGTGCCACCCCTCCCATGGACCTCCTCCCATACCACACCATGAAGAATCCTTAGTAATTTTGTTTTGTATTCATGTTACACATAAATCATAATTCCTATATATCACTGAATGCAGTAGTCATTACACAAACAACTAGCATTATTAAAATTATACCTTTAAATTACAATATCATAAACACAGCCTACATGTATTTACATGTACATTGTTTAATGTGATTAAAGTGAACATTTTTAAGAGTTAAGATTTTTTTATTTATAACAAAAAAGAGTTAACTTACACAGCTAAATAATAAATGAAAAAGAGCATTAACATATTAATCACCTATGTATCAACAGCAGAAAGCATGTCTATATCACTCCGTCTATCAATTAGTTTGTATTTGTATTTTCCTCTTTTAAGACATATTCATATAGCTATACTCTTTAAATATTAAAGCTTACTAAAGTTGTAATTGTAAATATTAGTAATTAAAGACATATCTGTGTCTATGTTATTTTGTTATTGCAAAAATAGTTATTGCAAAAATAGTTATTGCAAAAATAGTTATCTTAACTTAAGAGTTAATATTTTAAAGAACATTTTAAAAAAATAAAGTTTTATTAAAAACTTTTTTTTAATTTAAAATTTAAATTGTTTTTAAAACTCAAGGCCCTTTCCTTTCTCTTCCCACTGAGCCTTGCCCCATTCACATCATCTTTTTTAAAGGGATGCAGGGGAACTCCACAGCCTATTTCTGCAAAAGGGGAGATGTTTGGGGAGCAGTGGTGTCACTGCCTCTTAGGTTGTCACCTGGTACATCCTGAACCCCTGGATCCCCCTAGTGAGATGATGTGACTCATTGGAGAAGACAATAATGCTGGGGAAAGTGGAAAGCAATACAAAAAGAGGAAGCCTTCATTATAGGTGGATTGATTCAATCAATCAAGGAAGCCACAGCTTTGAATCCAGAACACCAGAGCAGGGCAGTTGATGATCAGGGCTCTTGGAGGTCTCTCTTTCATAGGGTCACCATGAGTAAAAGCTGACTTTATGTAAAATAACAACAAAGTTCACAAAAAAAGAGACTTTGGGTGTATCTACACTGTAGAAATAATGCAGTTTGACACCACTTTAACTGCCATGGCTCAATCCTGCAGAATCCTGGGATTTGTACTTTTGTGAGGCACCAGCACTCTTTGGCAGAGAAGGCTAAAGAGCTTGTAAAATAAATCCCAGGATCCCATAGGGATGGAGCTACAGCACTTAAAGTGGTGTCAAACTACATTATTTCTACACTGTAGATGAACCCTTTCTGAGGAGTTTTCCCAATAGGTGGGCAAGGTCCTGCAAGAGCTGGAATCAGGCCGTAAAATCACCCTATTTCATATTATGATCCAAAAAACACAGTACTGTTTTAGTTTTGCACTTAAAATTTCAACTAGTTTTTAAGTTTCACAATCTATTTCTGCATGGGTGTGTGTGGGAGAGCTAGGAAATAACAGTGTGCGAGAGAAAGTGTTCAGTGACATTATTTTATTCTCTGTTTCCTTAAAGAAAAAAAAAAAAAGACCTTGAGGAGTAACAGGAAGGCAGAGACTTTGTGGCCAACACATACTGCCGCTCCAATGCTGCACATTCTTCAAGGCTGTCGCTATTTTTCCTTTCTTTTCCTATGCGGAAAAAAAATGCTTGAAGGTTGACAAGTTCACTCCCAGAGCTTCCACCTCTTCTCTGCTTCCCTTTTCTCCCCTTTTCCTCCTTCTTTTTGTGGGGATGGAGAAGAAGAGAGAACGTAGGAGTCTCCTTCTCTTTAGAATCAGCATTGATACAGCTTGAAACATCAAAAAGGTGAAAAAGCAAAGCAAAACAAAACAAAAGGATCCACTCCAGAACTCACTGTTAAATGTGAAAGCTCAGGCTGCGCTAGGATAAACGTTGGAGTGATTTTTCCATCATATCATACATATAACTTCTCTCAAGTCATTTATTCTATGTGGTATTTTTGTGTGCATGTTTTTTGTTATGTAATTGTGGTTTCTTTTTGTCAATTTCTTTAGTGGTTTCATCTGTTAGTATCAATTTGATTATAGTATACAATGCACTTTCTTTGGCCATAATATACCATATATACTCAACTATAAGTCGACCTCATATATAAGACAAAGGCAATAATAATAATACATTTGATTTATAGCCCGCCTCTCCCTGCGGATTGAGGCGGGTTACAACAAATAGAAATTACAATAAAATACAATATACAATTAAAACCAGAAGGCAAGTTTTAGGGTCAAAATTATGGATTTTGCTATGACCCATGGATAAGTCGAGGGTAAAACCTAGAGGCATGTAGCAAAGGAAAACCTAAAGGATGAAGCAAAGGAAAACAATGCCAAAGAACATACAAAATTCTAGCAGGCATAACTGTTTACGCTTGCACTAACGCTGGATGGATGAAAGAGCAGAGGGGGCCCAGTGCTTCCAGGACAGATTACACTCTTGGCTTTCACCAAGGGATGGTTTCTTTTTCAATAAGACTTAACATACAGTACTTACTTTGACCTGTGGAGAAGTCGATTCAGGGTTCTTGGGTCAATTTTTTGACTAAAATTTCTAGACTTATACATCAGTATATACAGTAAGCATTATTTGTGTAGTTTTGGGATAATTTCGTATTAAGTAGTGTTTGGTGTAGTGGTTTGAGCATTGGACTAAGGCTCTGGAGAACAGGGTTCAAATCCATGCATGGCTATAGAAACCCACTGAATGATCTTAAGCAAGTCACACTATCTCATCCTCAGAAGATGGCAATGGCAAACCCCTTTTGAAGAAACTTGCCAAGAAAACCCTATGATATGTTCGCCTTAGGGTGGTCATGAGTAAAAAATGACTTGGAAGAATCAACAACAACAACAATAACAACAACAACAAACCATATTGCAGCCTGAACTTTCAACTTTAGCAGCTTGAAACATGTCATTGGCCTTTGTGGAGGTGGGTTCTAACATCTCTGCCCATGGGTGGGTTTGTTGTTTTTGTGGGCCTTCAACTCTTTTCCAACTTATGGCTACCCTATCATGGGGTTTTCTGGGACTGAGAGTATGTGACTTGCCTAGGATTACCCACTGATTTTCCATGGCTGAGCCTGGAATCTGAACCTTGGTCTCCAGAGTCTTAAAAATCCAACACTCCTACTGTGATACCACACTGGTTGTCCAAGGGGTGAGTAGAAAGACCCATTTTCCTGCCTGCATGTGCATGATTCAAGGAGACCTCTGAAACATCCTCCAAGAGTTTATTTCTTTTTGCGAGTCAGCATGGCATAGTGGTTTGAGTGTTGAGACTAGGACTCTGGAGACCAAGGTTCGAATCCTGGCTTGGCCATGTAAACCCACTGGGTGACTGTGGGCAAGTCACACTCTCTCGGCCTCTGAGGATGGCCATGGCAAACCCCTCTGAAGAAACTTATCAAGACAAGCCCATGATAGGTTCTCCTTAGGCTTGCCATATGTTGAAAAGGACTTGAAGGGACACAAAATCTCTTTCTCCAGTATGCAAGGGCATCTTGGGACACCTTTGAGACTTGCTGAACTTGAGCCTACTTCCTCAGATGCATGCGATAGGATTGCCATAACTTGGAAATTACTTGAAGGCACCCAAGAACAACAAACCCACTCATGGGCAGAGCTGTTAAGAACCCACCTTCACAAAGGCAAGGCTCACATGAAAGACATGTTTCAAGATGTTCAATGTGAAAGCTCTGGCTGCAATATGGTTTTTGTTGCTGTGTGCTTCCAAGTCCCTTTTGACTTATGGCAACCCTAAGGTGAACCTATTGTGGTGTTTTCTTGAAGCTTTCTTCAGAGGGGGTATGCTGTTGCCATTCTCTGAGACTGAGGACCTTATCACATGTGGCCCACAAAGCGATAATAATCCTGAAATGACAAATTCCGAAAATAAACCTAAAATAAACCTTGATTCCATAAATGGTTTTCACACGCAATTACCATCATTG